AAGGCATTGGCCATGCCTGTGATGTGTCCGCTGATGTTGGAGCTCAAGGCCAGGGACTCCTGGGTGTTGAGCAGCGTTTTGCAAACGTCCAAAGGTGTCGTGGCGGCAGCAGCGACGGCCCCCGCGCAGGCCCCAGAGACCACGTGGGAGCCCGGGTTGTACTGTCTGTGGGGGTTCAGCTGCTCTTGCAGGAACTCATAGGTCATGAAGTGAATGGCTTGGAAGGGGATGTTCATGGTGAGCTGGGTGGTGTAGCTGCGGTAGAAAGCCCCGGCCCCTTCGTTGCGCCACACAGCCCGCACACAGTCCATCACGTGCTGGTAAGGCGAGTTGTACATCTGCATCCTCTGCTTCACCACTTGGGACAGGCAGCGGCAGCCAGCACCCAGGCACAGAGGGGGAGAGGAGAAACAAGGGTAAACACAAAGCCAGGCTTCCTCCAACTGCTTGGACTTTGGTGACATTGGTCTAAGAGCTGAAGAGAGACAACTCGAACCACTGGTGCCCACGTGTCTCCAGACAGGACAGCAGCTGTTTAAATCTGCTGAGGCATCACTGCCACACACACATCACCACTCACATGCCACAGCCTCAGGGAATATCCTGATATCCCACTGCTTACAGTCCAGATCCACCCTTGCTCCTGAGCAACCAGTGTTTCCCCATCCACTGCTGCAGAGCTATCAGTCAGTCAGAAGAACCCCTTGGCATCCAGTTTCTTATTTCCCAGACAGCTCTTGATCTGGATAAGACCGTCCCTCCCTTGCCACCCCCACTGCAGCCCAGAATATCCACAGCTCATTGCAGAGCCCACTAGCCAGGAGCTGTTAGCAGCCACCCTGGGCAAGGTTCAGAGCCAAAGCCCCCAAAACCACCCAAGAGTGGGACAGGGGAGTCCAGAGCCCAGCCTGCCACTGCTCTACCTCCCCCTATCTCCATGTGACCATAAGGAGCTCAAAATGATGTTGTGCTGAACTACTACAATCATGACAAGAGAAGCTCCATGACAATGGTATGGCAACTGCCTGCTCCTCGGGGTCCCTGCCATGCAGTGGGGAGGCAGGATCTGCACCCATATCAGCTGGAACCTGCACTGTCACAAGCTCTCCAGTTTTAAAAGGGAAAAATACCTTCATGACTGGCCTTTCCTCATTGCTTCTCCTTCTCCCACCACTTCCACGGACTCAGTAAAATTACTAACTCCCTCTAACTTTTTCATATATACCAGGCTCATCAAAATCAGCATCTTCCAGACATTTCACAAGATCTCCCTTCTCCCAACTTCTCTATACGTTTTTACACCCCACTCTTTTAATTCTCTTGAACACAGGCCCACGACTGCACCACCTCTTCCCTAGATCTCAATACAGCAGTGCCCAGCTTCCACACACTCAGAATGACTTTGGCAGTGCCAATCACATCTCTCTTCCCTTCTCTCCTGCTCCAGGTTACAGTCCCCAGCCAAACTCCTGGATGAAAGGCCCATGCCCCGCCTCCCAGCTCCTCCTGAACCGTGCTTTGCTGTGCTCTCGAGTTAATCTCTTCTACCCACCCTGCCCACAACAGCCAGCCACCAGGGTCCCTACCTGGAGCCACGGGCCCCCAAAGAACCCCTGCAGTCAGGCAAGAACAAGGGCACTCTCTGTGCTACAGAGGGGACCCAGGAGGCTCGGGCAGACCCTGATTCTCCCCTCCCCAGCAGGCCAGGACCATCATTACCTTCAGCAGGGTTCATGGCTGCATCGTGGAGCAACGTTGCTACACACCCGGCTGCACCTGCAAAACAAGAACTGCCACATGTGAGGGGGGGAAGGGTGAGGGACCCTGGGACTCCAGCACAGCCCCAAGTCCCTGGCAGAGGCACAGGAAGAGGCCCATGAAAAAGGTGAGATCTGAAGGCAGCTTCCATCTCCCTTCCAAAAGGCAGGCTGGTGCTCAGGGGTTCCCACCCAGACTGAGATACAGGAATAGAGGGGGAAGGTAGTGGCAGGCTGCCATGTCCCATGGGGTCACCGGGACTAATCTGTGCCCACTCTTCGGGGGACAGGCCAATGCCACCAGCTGGCAGCCCATGGTGAGTGTCCCCACGTCCCGCTGGCACTTGCTGCACACCTGCCAAGGGCAGAACGTGCCCTGCTCTCCCCTCAGCCCCATGCTCCCCCTACTGTGGCGGGTCCTGGAGACGGGCAACGGGCACCA